ACAGTGGGGACACGGGGGACATGGGGGGCATTCAGGGTATAGGGGGCGTTTGGGACATGAGGGGGACACGGGGGGACATTTGGGACACGTGGGGGGCATGGGGGGTGTGGGGGACAGTGGGGACACGGGGGGCTGGGGGACACTGAGGCCAGAGGGCCATGGGGGCCCCACAGATGGTCCCGGGGTGGGGGGGGTGGCACTGGGGGTCCCTGGTGACACAGTGACGGTGACACGGGCGGTGGCCACAGTTCGGGGGGGTCCCGGGGGGGGGGGGTGGCACTGGGGGGTCCCGGTGACAGTGACGGTGCCGGTGACACGGGCGGTGGCCGCAGTTCGCCTTCCTGTTCTACCTGCTGACCTACGTGGGGGCCGCGTTCAACGGGCTCACCCTGCTCGGAGCGGGTACGGAGCGGGATCGGGAATGGGGTGTGGGACTGGGACTGGGATTGGGATGTGGGATGTGGGATCGGGATGTGGGGTGTGGGACTGGGACTGGGATTGGGATGTGGGATGTGGGGTGTGGGATTGGGATATGGGATGTGGGATGGGGACAGGGACACGAAATATGGGATGTGGGGCCTGTGTTCAACGGGCTCACCCTGCTTGGAGTGGGATTGGGATCGGGATGTGGGATTGGGATGTGGGGTGTGGGATTGGGATATGGGATGTGGGATGGGGACAGGGTCACGAAATATGGGATGTGGGGCCTGTGTTCAACGGGCTCACCCTGCTTGGAGTGGGTACGGAGTGGGATTGGGATCGGGATGTGGGATTGGGATGTGGGGACACTGGGACACGGGACACAGGGACATGAACGTGGGGGTGGGAATGTGGGACACGGGGTGGGAACATGGGGTGGGGACACAGACACAGGGGGGGGACACGGGGTGGGGACACGGACACGGGGTGGGGATGGGGAGGGAGGTGGGATGGGGACACAGAACATGGGATGGGGACAAGGGACAGGGGATGGGGGGACAGCACAGGGCTTGGGGACAGGGGGTTGAGGGGACAGGGATGGGAGGGGGGACAGAACACGTAGGGGGGGATGAGGTGAGGAGCTGGGGTGACCCCGGGGTGACCTGAGGTGACCCGGGGTGACCTGAGGTGACCTGAGGTGACCCGGGGTGACCCCGTTCCCCGGCCAGGTGTGATCTGTGCATTCACCTTCCCCGTGCTCTACCGGCGCCACCAGGTACGGGGACAATGGGGACAATGGGGACAATGGGGACACAGGGGGGTGTGGGGGGCTCAGGAGGGTTGGGGACACGGGGGGGGACTCAGGGGGGACATGGGGGTGTAGGGAGGGTGCTGTGCACCCCTCGGCCCCCTCCTCGGTCCCCAAGTGTCCCTGCTGTCCCCAGTTGCCCCCTGATGTCCCCAGTTGCCCCCCGTGTCCCCAACTGCCCCCTCTGCCCCCCCGTGTCCCTAATTGCCCCCCCCAATGTCCCCAGGCCCAGATCGACCAGTACCTGAGTCTGGCGAGGAGCCACCTGAGCCACCTTCGAGCCAGGTGAGGGTGTGTCCCCCCCC